TGTGTGTGTGTGTGTGTGTGTGTGTGTGTGTGTGTGTGTGTGTGTGTGTGTGTGTGTGTGTGTGTGTGTGTTTTCCTACCTTCCTCCACAGACACATTTCCAAAATACATCAGCTTCCCTTTACCTCCCGTCAGCACCATGGAGAAACTGCAGACACACAAAGAAACGTCTAGATTTTAAATGTGAGAGAACGACGCCCTCTAGTGGCGAAATCACACAGGTACAAGTGAGTGTATGTACTCAGATCTTGTACTTGAGTAAAAGTGTAAGTACACAGATCTTGTACTTGAGAAAAGTGAGAAAAGGTTGTCTGATAGAAAGGTATAACTGTGTCAATATTCTTATTATGTATCATATAATTAAACTGATATAGATTTAAATACATCCACAGCAGTTCATTGATTAGCTTCCTGCTGGTACTCCAAATATCTACATATTAGAAGAACCTGATATACAACCTTTAAAACATCCTTGAAATGAGCAGGTTCAGGTATCAATCATCAAACTCTCACACACAATCTCCAACAGCAGATTTACCTGAAAGGAGTTTCATCGATGTTTGTGTAGAAGTAATCGTTGACGAGGTACAGAGGACGTTTCTGTTGGACGAGGAGGAAGGTGTGATCATAATATAATACATATAACATAAATATATAGCTGGATCTCCATCCGTCTTTTCGTATTTTATTAAAGTCATGATGTTAATGTTAGCCTCTGTTAGCTTCTCCATCTGGTGTGACGTAAGTGACATTGTTTAAAGGGGACCTATGTCTACGTCTTTTCTACATGAACATGTGTCCCCGGTGTGTCAGGGAACTCACCAAGTGTCAGAAAACACAACCCTCTCTCTTTTCCTCCATACCCAAATCTCTAACAACGGGGCTGCAACGGATCTGATTATTATTTGAATTGTCAGAGAAGGGCTGCTCCGCCTATATGGGCAACTCTCCACCTATCAGGGGAATGAGAGACCGCTCGAAAGCGCTGGAGACGCTGTAGTACATATGCCAGGCCTGTAAGTGGCGCTGTAGTCTGCCACAAAAGCAGAATCAGCTCTTACAAAAACAGGGCTGGAAAAGAGCAGATAGAGCGAAATGAGGCATGATCTGTTTGGTATTTTGAAAAAAAAACTTCACAGACATGTTTAATATAGGTATGGCCCTACAATATATGTTTCAAATAAAGCATGATAGGTCCCCTTTAAGTTAACCTAAATCAGTGGTGTTTATAATAACTGCTTCTAATCACATGAAAACAGATCAGGAAGTGTTCTTATTTTTAATAGGAAATAAGCAGAATCATTAAAAAGCATTACTGCCACCTATTGACCTGGAGGGGAACTGCAGGTGTGTCCCTATATCATTGAATAAACTCTAAAGTCTAAATGATGTATTAATGAGCAGCGATGGAATTTAACTATATTACTAATTAAATTCATAAATATACTGTCTTCGAGTTACGATAGAATCAGAATGAAAATACTTTATTTATCTCAGGGGGAAATTGTTAACGTGTCGGTTACTCAATTTAAGAATATAATAAAAAATAAGGTAAATATGTAGAATAAAATAAAATAAATAGAATAATAATAATAATAATAATAACTCACTCCCCCAGCCAATCAGAGACTGCCCTGACCACTCACTAAAACCCACCTCTTCAATCTTTCTTGTTGTATTGCTTGATTTTAATGTGACTTTAACTATATGTATTAGTTGTTCTTTTCTTTTCACTATCTCTGTAAAAGCGCTCACAAAATACATATATTATTATTATGATAATAATATTTCCATAATTAATTAGTACAAATCAATCAAAGAAAGAAATGTGCAACAAAAATATAATTTAATAAAAATATTTTTTTCTAAAAAAATAGAATACATTTATTTATACTGTACAAACAGGATATGTTAATGTGAAAGTATTTAATAAGAGATACACTAGAACGAACTGTTTCCTGAAAGCAGTGAATTCTTTCCTCACCGCTTTGTCCACCGAGGCTCTGACGCTCAGCCTCATGCTGCCCGTCTCCCCTCTCACCATCGCCGTCCTCAGCTACAAGACAAGGGGAAACACAAAGTCAGACCAGTCTCAAAAACAGCAAATCAGGGACATTTTTAAAAGTACAGATTAAGGGGAGGTCGAAATATTCAGAGAAAAAAATGAAACTTCTGAAATTGATTTTGTGAGTTCACAAGTCGTACCACTCACTAAAGTACTATTTGTGTTTGTTTAAGAAACAACTTTTCTTATCTTTGCAAAAAACAATTGATACTTTTTTATCTCAGAAAATATTTAACGTTTGCCTTGCAATTTATTTTCGTACTTTACCGTCTGAGTCTCGTAAAAACACCCCACTTCACCAGAGCGTTTTTCTGCAAATGTATATTTTGACATGTGTGAACAATTCCAATTTTTTTTTCTATGAATTAACCCTTTTTAAGTTTATGTTTTTTCGCAAGTTTTTTTATTGGAATTAATCTACGAAAAAAAAGTGTTTTCCTCGTGAATTTGTAATTTCACTTTTTTATCTCATTTATTTCTCACATACTATCCCCTTCCCTGAACTCCTGGATATTTCTTTTTTCTGGCTTTAATATGCCGTCCAGTTCCCTCTACAGCGAGAAGCTCACGGGGCTTTCCCCAACCTGTGTCAAGAGCTGGAGGTAAATGAAATCTCACATTTGCCTTCTTAATAGTTTGTTTGGGTCCCTCACTTCCGTTTCACTTCTCATGCACTGATTCGCTAGCTGAACAGCCAATCAGAGTGATTTCTTTTGCTGACTGCCTTTGGCCGACTGCCCACCGATTCGACATAAAGACCCGACGGTGCGGGACACACCAATCTGAGTAGGGCGTGTCCACGCTCATCGTCGGCCTGACGCCCACCGACGGCCAAAATGGGCTTGGTGTGTCCGGGGCTGAAGAGTGAAACATGACTATCTGAAGGTTTCATTCCAACATAGTTATATCTCAGAAAACACCATTATATATTTGTATTGTGATGGCGTTCACCGTCTCCTCTGTGTCCTCCCACTCCACCTCGGACATGTCCACACTGTTGTAGTTGGGCTTCGGCTTCAGCTTCTTCCCGTCTTTATACTGCGGGACAAATAACCCTTCAGAAAATCAGCTGAAAATACATGTCTTTCTTAAATCAGAGGTCATGTTTAACTCACCAGAGGTCGGAGGTCAGGGTGAGCCAGGATGTAGCCGTTGTTGGTGATGAGGAAGGCGTAGCCGTGAGGACCCAGCTGAGGAAGAGGAGGAAGAGGAAGGATATAAGGATGCTCAGTAAATGTTAACGTCCTTGACTTTTATTGTGAAAGGGTAGGAAGCTAAATGAATGGTGCGAGCTTTTATTGTGAAATGAAAGGATGCTTAAGTATTGTAAGTACTTTTTTTTATGAAATGTAAGTAAGCAGTAAGTTTTATTGTGAAATGGAAGAAAGTTAAAGACATGTTTTAAGCTTTTACTGTGAAATGGACGGTTTCTTAAGAAATGCTTTATTGTGAAATGGACGTAACAAAAAGCATGTTTTTAGCTTTTATTTTGAAATAGAGGTGATTCTGTCGGCTCTTATTGTGAAAAGTGATCCCTAGGTGTGGATAACAACAGGAAGTGGAGTATTCAGAGTGATCTCACCATGTATCTGGGGGCGAGCTTCATCACCTCCATCAGAGGGATGTCTGTGCCGACCACGCCCAGCAGGATGCCGTGAGACAGCTGCACACACAACAACATGCTAACAAAGGTATCAACTGTAGCTGTGAACATGACAGGATGTGTGATTACCTAGAAGAGCATCAGGACTGTTTGAGGCATATGATAGCTATGTGATTAACATGATGATTCAGCCTCTATGGAGAGAGACATATGACAAGCATGCTCATTTAAAAAAATATATATATTTGGAGAAAAAGTCAGAATTTTGAGATTTGTGAGAAAAAGTCAAATTTTTGAGAAAAAGTCAGAATTGTTGAGAAAAAGTGAGAATAAAAAAAAGTCAGAATTTTGAGATTTTTTTTGAAAAAGTCGGACTTTTGAATTTTAAAAGAAAAATACAGATTGTTGAGAAAAAGTCAGAATTTTTAGATTTTTGAGAAAAAGGCAGATTTTTGAGAAAAATGCAGATTTTTGAAAGAAAATCAAAATAAAAAAAAGTCAGAATTTTGAGAAAGTCAGAATTTTTAGATTTTTTGAAAAAGACAGAATTTTGAGATTTTGAGAAAAATACCAACAAATTCTCTTTTTTACTTTTGACTTCCATTCTGGAGAGGATCACAAATACATGGATCCTGAGATTGAAGCTCAAGCCGGTGACGAGTGAGACAAACAAAACCCAAAAGGTCCCAAACAAACACTTTACATTTACACACTACTGTTCACGCTTCATACAGTATTATATTTGTCTATTTATAATATAATACAATTCTTTATAATATGATAAAATTGTTTATATATAATTTGAAAGTCAATAATATTTTTCTTTATCAATTTGATACTCTTTTAAGTTCGTTAAGTTGGTTTTAAGTATTATTATTTTTTGTATTATTGTTTTACACGTTCAAATAAATCAAATCAAAATATATATATATTTTTTTTTTCTCCAAATATTCCACAAATGAATGTCTTGTTTTGCACCCGTTTGTTTCTGTTAAATGAGTTCATAATGAGATCATCTTCTGGGCAAAACTTCTGGATAGAGTCTGGAAGCCTCTTGCTTTTCTCTTTTACCTTAAGTGTGCGGTTTTTAAAAGTTTAAATGATCGTTATCAGATGAATAAGAGTTTCCACGGACCGTTTCCTTCTTCTTGCTGAAGACGGGCATGGCCACAGACGTCATCATCAGCAGACTCTGAGCTTTAGTGGTGAACAGCTGAGAGACAAAACAACACAGTGAATAAACAAAACAATGAAACACATAAATAATTACATTGAGATGGTGGTAGCAGTGGAAAGAACTGATGCCATTCTCAACAGATGTTAAAAGTCTCTTTTTCTTTGAATATTCATCATTTTTTAATGTGAGCTTTGTAAAACATAATTTGTTCGACTGTTAACTTATTTATAATATCTTGCCTTTCGTCTCCTTCTCTTGTTGTCTCTTTGCTGCTGTACCACTGCACATTGCCCCGTATTGGGACGAGCTAACAGTTCTCTTATTTGGAATATAATGCTGTGTTTATTGTGACAGTCTGTGCAGCTTTAAAGAGTGCAGCTCTAAGGTCGAACTCCAGGGGGCGATGTAGGAATACTGCAGTTCTGAGTACATTAAAAACACCCTTATGGTAAAAGTACAGCAACAAAAGAGTACAGAGGATTATTTATCTTTATTTACCTGTCTGTGTCTCTACTTTAAAGAGTCCTCTCCTGCTGATGTTCAGGTGTATATCAGTATGTAGTGTCTCTACTTTAAAGAGTCCTCTCCTGCTGATGTTCAGGTGTATATCAGTATGTAGTGTCTCTACTTTAAAGAGTCCTCTCCTGCTGATGTTCAGGTGTATATTAGTATGCAGTGTCTCTACTTTAAAGAGTCCTCTCCTGCTGATGTTCAGGTGTATATCAGTATGTAGTGTCTCTACTTTAAAGAGTCCTCTCCTGCTGATGTTCAGGTGTATATCAGTATGTAGTGTCTCTACTTTAAAGAGTCCTCTCCTGCTGATGTTCAGGTGTATATCAGTATGTAGTGTCTCTACTTTAAAGAGTCCTCTCCTGCTGATGTTCAGGTGTATATCAGTATGTAGAGTCTCTACTTTAAAGAGTCCTCTCCTGCTGATGTTCAGATGTATATCAGTATGTAGTGTCTCTACTTTAAAGAGTCC